GAGAGAGAGAGAGAAATATAATTAAGCTTCACTGTAAGGACTGAAAGTAAGATAGACGCTAGATACAGTCATTAAAAATAACGAAGAAAAAACAAGTGAAGAAAATAAAATGTATAAGTGCTATTCGGAAATGAATATTAATGTATTATGTATTTAGCCTTTAGAGGACGTACATACGAATTAGAAATGAAGTATCTAATATTTGAGATCTATCACACTAAACATGATGAATTCCTTTTAAAATTAATTTTTTCATTATTTAAATAATCAGGATGTTTTTAAAGGCAAAAATTCTTATAAATACTTCTCTAAAATATTTTTATTGTAAATCATACTTTATTGTAAATCATACTTTCTATAAATCTAAGAAAGTATGATCTTAACATGTGAGGAATTTCGAAATTGTGAAATAGATTCAATATAAAAGATAAACTTCCGTGCTTATAATAATATCTGTATAAGAATGTATATACCATGGTCCGTTTAAAATATTTCCAATTCTGATATCTGATAATATTTCATTTTATTAAAAATAAAGAAATAACAGACTGTTTTAGATTTCAAATATTTTCTTGTTAAATTAAAAAAAAATAAATTATTCGATAACATATAATTATAGGTTTCATATTTATGCTGAAAATGTATTATTGTATATGTGTGCAAATTAACATAATTTTTATTCTGTAAATTCTGTTTTTGACGAATTTTAATTCTACATAGGTTATGTTAATTTTATATTTGGATATTTGAATTGGATAAATTGATTTATACAGGCCATGTAGCTCAATATAAGTAGCGAATATTAAAAAAAACTTTTTTGGGAATTCGATAATGAATTGTTTTCCCTTTAAACTATTCTAATCTAAATAAACAATTTAGAGTTTTGAGAGAAATACGTTTTATGAAGAGAGAAAGAAACTACTTGTTCTAGATTCTACTTTAAGTAACGAATTTACTTAAAAAGGAGAAAAATTCAAATTAAATAAGACTTACACGCAGAATTAAAATTTAAGACTTATATCCAGATTGTGTACGTATTCGTTTAAAACATATTTATAGAATAAAAAAAAACACAAGTTGATCTATTATTAAGAGATCTACTCTTGAAAATAGAGTATAGAACTTATTGCCTTTTACAATGTAAGAATGACATGAAATCGTTCATAATCTCATTTAGAAATAAAAAGAGATATTATCAATATTACACTTTAATCACAGGAATAGATGCCAAAATATACGTAGAAAAAATAATAATTTTATCAATCAATATATTCTAAAATTTTTTGTTTTATTTTTCTTATTATTTTATTTAGATTTTTTTTTTTAGAAAAAACGTGTACAATTTCCTGTTTCAAGTTTTATTATTTTTTCGAGAAATACATTAAAATAGAAGGAGATATAAAATAATTGTAAAACGTTAAAATTTCTCTTCTTTATAAAAATTTATTTTATCATATCCAATTTATATTCTACTCAACCGAATTTTTTTTTGTTTAAAATTTTTTTGAATTATTAATTGTTTGATATAGCTATAATTTCGAAATAGTTATTCGTATAACAAAGTTAATATGTTGACAAGCAAATATTAGGAATATATTTAAAGGGGAAGATAAAATTTTTAATTTTTTTTTCAAATATTCGTTTGTACTGATACTTCCAATTTTAATAAATGTAAAAAATTTAAAATTGTTTTTTAAACTAATTTACCCTTAGATTATTATTCGTATCGTTAAATACAAAATTAATATTCCATTTATCAAATTTTTTTTTAATTTTAAAAGTTAATACTAAAGAGAGCTCTGCGCGATTATATCATTTGTGATATTATTTTCCGCAGAGCATGTTTGTATAATGTCTAAACTTGTTCTTTTAGTTTTTTTCAGATACGCATTTTCCGCCTGATCACGAAGAAATTGCGCCATAAATACGCCTGTATTGTTGATCATTTGTGAGAAAATTCCATTTGGATTGTCTCGTAATAATTCGTATGGACAACCGAATTCCTATTTCAATACAAAAACCTTATATAGTATATATATACATTTATATTTCAGAAATGTATATATTTCTGATTATTATTATTACATATGTTTTATTTACTCTTTTGTATCGATGATTTTAATTTCAATGATTCAATTAATTCAGTATTTTTTTTAAATTATTTATAATAAATATAAAATTAAATCATACCGCTATTTTACCAGAATCCATCACTATAATTCTGTCACTGTCAATAATAGTATTTATCCGGTGAGCAATCGTAATAACAGTACAGTTTACAAATTTCACTCTTATAGTTTTTTGAATTAATTCATCCGTGCTAAAAAAAATTGTTTTTAAATATATATATATATAATAAATTTTTAATAAACAAGTTGATAAAAGTTAGAAAAAGTAATTCAAATTACTAATTGTCAATATTAGCTGTAGCTTCATCCAAAACTAATAATCGGTTGTTCTTTAAAATTGCTCGAGCCAAACATATCAATTGTTTTTGTCCAATACTCAAATTATTCCCTCCATGCATTAACGTTTGATCCAATTTAAGATCATTTAATTCAACTTCTCGAAGAGTATTCCACAATAGCACGTCATCAAAGTTTTTAAACGGGTCCAAATTGTAGCGTAATGTTTCAGAAAACAAAAATGGTTCCTGAGGAATAATAGATATTCGTGAGCGTAATTCATGCAAGCCTAACGTTCCGGTATCCCTTCCATCAATTTTAATCTCTCCTTGTAAACATTCGTCAAATAACCGAAAAAGTGCTGATATTATGGATGATTTCCCTGCACCAGTTCTACCTACAATGCCAACTTTCCAGCCTGCTTCTATGGTCACGTTTAGATTCTATATAAAAAATGAATTCTATTGATATTGAATTTTCAATAATTTTTGCATAATTATTATTTTTGTTTCATTACTTTTA